GTTATAACTGCGACTGAAGGATTCTATATACCATTAGAATCAGCAGTAAATTCTGTATCTAAAACACGAAGAAGAATTGTACCCAATCAATATACAAGAAGATATAATACAATATATAATTTTTTAATATTTTTTTAATTAAATATTTTCAAATTTAATTTTCTTGATGGTTATAACTGCGACTGAAGGATTCTATATACCATTAGAATCAGCAGTAAATTCTGTATCTAAAACACGAAGAAGAATTGTACACAATCAATATACAAGAAGATATAATACAATATATAATTTTTTAATATTTTTTTAATTAAATATTTTCAAATTTAATTTTCTTGATGGTTATAACTGCGACTGAAGGATTCTATATACCATTAGAATCAGCAGTAAATTCTGTATCTAAAACACGAAGAAGAATTGTACCCAATCAATATACAAGAAGATATAATACAATATATAATTTTTTAATATTTTTTTAATTAAATATATTCAAATTTAATTTTCTTGATGGTTATAACTGCGACTGAAGGATTCTATATACCATTAGAATCAGCAGTAAATTCTGTATCTAAAACACGAAGAAGAATTGTACACAATCAATATACAAGAAGATATAATACAATATATAATTTTTTAATATTTTTTTAATTAAATATTTTCAAATTTAATTTTCTTGATGGTTATAACTGCGACTGAAGGATTCTATATACCATTAGAATCAGCAGTAAATTCTGTATCTAAAACACGAAGAAGAATTGTACCCAATCAATATACAAGAAGATATAATACAATATATAATTTTTTAATATTTTTTTAATTAAATATATTCAAATTTAATTTTCTTGATGGTTATAACTGCGACTGAAGGATTCTATATACCATTAGAATCAGCAGTAAATTCTGTATCTAAAACACGAAGAAGAATTGTACCCAATCAATATACAAGAAGATATAATACAATATATAATTTTTTAATATTTTTTTAATTAAATATTTTCAAATTTAATTTTCTTGATGGTTATAACTGCGACTGAAGGATTCTATATACCATTAGAATCAGCAGTAAATTCTGTATCTAAAACACGAAGAAGAATTGTACCCAATCAATATACAAGAAGATATAATACAATATATAATTTTTTAATATTTTTTTAATTAAATATATTCAAATTTAATTTTCTTGATGGTTATAACTGCGACTGAAGGATTCTATATACCATTAGAATCAGCAGTAAATTCTGTATCTAAAACACGAAGAAGAATTGTACCCAATCAATATACAAGAAGATATAATACAATATATAATTTTTTAATATTTTTTTAATTAAATATTTTCAAATTTAATTTTCTTGATGGTTATAACTGCGACTGAAGGATTCTATATACCATTAGAATCAGCAGTAAATTCTGTATCTAAAACACGAAGAAGAATTGTACCCAATCAATATACAAGAAGATATAATACAATATATAATTTTTTAATATTTTTTTAATTAAATATTTTCAAATTTAATTTTCTTGATGGTTATAACTGCGACTGAAGGATTCTATATACCATTAGAATCAGCAGTAAATTCTGTATCTAAAACACGAAGAAGAATTGTACACAATCAATATACAAGAAGATATAATACAATATATAATTTTTTAATATTTTTTTAATTAAATATTTTCAAATTTAATTTTCTTGATGGTTATAACTGCGACTGAAGGATTCTATATACCATTAGAATCAGCAGTAAATTCTGTATCTAAAACACGAAGAAGAATTGTACCCAATCAATATACAAGAAGATATAATACAATATATAATTTTTTAATATTTTTTTAATTAAATATTTTCAAATTTAATTTTCTTGATGGTTATAACTGCGACTGAAGGATTCTATATACCATTAGAATCAGCAGAAAATTCTGTATCTAAAACACGAAGAATAATTGTACCCAATCAATATACAAGAAGATATAATACAATATATAATTTTTTAATATTTTTTTAATTAAATATTTTCAAATTTAATTTTCTTGATGGTTATAACTGCGACTGAAGGATTCTATATACCATTAGAATCAGCAGAAAATTCTGTATCTAAAACACCAAGACGAATTGTACCCAATCAATATACAAGAAGATATAATACAATATATAATTTTTTAATATTTTTTTAATTAAATATTTTCAAATTTAATTTTCTTGATGGTTATAACTGCGACTGAAGGATTCTATATACCATTAGAATCAGCAGAAAATTCTGTATCTAAAACACCAAGACGAATTGTACCCAATCAATATACAAGAAGATATAATACAATATATAATTTTTTAATATTTTTTTAATTGAATATTTTCAAATATAATTTTCTTGATGGTTATACCTGCGACTGGAGGATTCTATATACCATTCGAATCAGCAGAAAATTCTGTATCTAAAACACCAAGACGAATTGTACCCAATCAATATACAAGAAGATATAATACAATATATAATTTTTTAATATTTTTTTAATTGAATATTTTCAAATTTAATTTTCTTGATGGTTATAACTGCGACTGGAGGATTCTATATACCATTCGAATCAGCAGAAAATTCTGTATCTAAAACACCAAGACGAATTGTACCCAATCAATATACAAGAAGATATAATACAATATATAATTTTTTAATATTTTTTTAATTGAATATTTTCAAATTTAATTTTCTTGATGGTTATAACTGCGACTGGAGGATTCTATATACCATTCGAATCAGCAGAAAATTCTGTATCTAAAACACCAAGACGAATTGTACCCAATCAATATACAAGAAGATATAATACAATATATAATTTTTTAATATTTTTTTAAATGAATATTTTCAAATTTAATTTTCTTGATGGTTATAACTGCGACTGGAGGATTCTATATACCATTCGAATCAGCAGAAAATTCTGTATCTAAAACACCAAGACGAATTGTACGCAATCAATATACAAGAAGATATAATACAATATATAATTTTTTAATATTTTTTTAATTGAATATTTTCAAATATAATTTTCTTGATGGTTATACCTGCGACTGGAGGATTCTATATACCATTCGAATCAGCAGAAAATTCTGTATCTAAAACACCAAGACGAATTGTACCCAATCAATATACAAGAAGATATAATACAATATATAATTTTTTAATATTTTTTTAATTGAATATTTTCAAATTTAATTTTCTTGATGGTTATAACTGCGACTGGAGGATTCTATATACCATTCGAATCAGCAGAAAATTCTGTATCTAAAACACCAAGACGAATTGTACCCAATCAATATACAAGAAGATATAATACAATATATAATTTTTTAATATTTTTTTAATTGAATATTTTCAAATTTAATTTTCTTGATGGTTATAACTGCGACTGGAGGATTCTATATACCATTCGAATCAGCAGAAAATTCTGTATCTAAAACACCAAGACGAATTGTACCCAATCAATATACAAGAAGATATAATACAATATATAATTTTTTAATATTTTTTTAATTGAATATTTTCAAATTTAATTTTCTTGATGGTTATAACTGCGACTGGAGGATTCTATATACCATTCGAATCAGCAGAAAATTCTGTATCTAAAACACCAAGACGAATTGTACCCAATCAATATACAAGTAGATATAATACAATATATAATTTTTTAATATTTTTTTAATTGAATATTTTCAAATATAATTTTCTTGATGGTTATACCTGCGACTGGAGGATTCTATATACCATTCGAATCAGCAGAAAATTCTGTATCTAAAACACCAAGACGAATTGTACCCAATCAATATACAAGAAGATATAATACAATATATAATTTTTTAATATTTTTTTAATTGAATATTTTCAAATTTAATTTTCTTGATGGTTATAACTGCGACTGGAGGATTCTATATACCATTCGAATCAGCAGAAAATTCTGTATCTAAAACACCAAGACGAATTGTACCCAATCAATATACAAGAAGATATAATACAATATATAATTTTTTAATATTTTTTTAATTGAATATTTTCAAATATAATTTTCTTGATGGTTATACCTGCGACTGGAGGATTCTATATACCATTCGAATCAGCAGAAAATTCTGTATCTAAAACACCAAGACGAATTGTACCCAATCAATATACAAGAAGATATAATACAATATATAATTTTTTAATATTTTTTTAATTGAATATTTTCAAATTTAATTTTCTTGATGGTTATAACTGCGACTGGAGGATTCTATATACCATTCGAATCAGCAGAAAATTCTGTATCTAAAACACCAAGACGAATTGTACCCAATCAATATACAAGAAGATATAATACAATATATAATTTTTTAATATTTTTTTAATTGAATATTTTCAAATTTAATTTTCTTGATGGTTATAACTGCGACTGGAGGATTCTATATACCATTCGAATCAGCAGAAAATTCTGTATCTAAAACACCAAGACGAATTGTACCCAATCAATATACAAGAAGATATAATACAATATATAATTTTTTAATATTTTTTTAATTGAATATTTTCAAATTTAATTTTCTTGATGGTTATAACTGCGACTGGAGGATTCTATATACCATTCGAATCAGCAGAAAATTCTGTATCTAAAACACCAAGACGAATTGTACCCAATCAATATACAAGAAGATATAATACAATATATAATTTTTTAATATTTTTTTAATTGAATATTTTCAAATTTAATTTTCTTGATGGTTATACTTGCGACTGGAGGATTCTATATACCATTCGAATCAGCAGAAAATTCTGTATCTAAAACACCAAGACGAATTGTACCCAATCAATATACAAGAAGATATAATACAATATATAATTTTTTAATATTTTTTTAATTGAATATTTTCAAATTTAATTTTCTTGATGGTTATACGTGGGCATCTATTATGGTAACCTGTATCTAAAATACGAGCAACGAATAAATTTTTCTTATAAAGTATTTATTTAAACAGACATAAAATAAATTTAAAACAAATCTAAATAAGGCTCTATTCTAAGTTTATATTTTTCTTTTACATAAACTGTCAACCCTCCAAGTTTTTCAATGCTTGGAGGTTTTAATGGATCTTCTGGTAATAATTTGTAGGCAAGAAAAAAGTTTGCAGCAAAAAGGAAAAGCATCATTCTTGCTAATGCTTCTCCTGCACATTGCCTTAAGTATTAATTAAGAAAAATTTTTAAAGACAAATTTTCTCCAAAATTTTTTTTTACCTTTTCCCCACACCAAAAGCTATTAGCTCGTCAGCTTTTTTTAATTTCCCTTCGTTGTCTATATAACGTTCAGGTTCAAAATTTTGAGGATTTGGGTATATCTAAATATAAATTTTTTAAGCAAAATATTTTTAGAAACCTTTGGATCAAAAAGAACATCGGATACTTGGGGTATCATAAATGTACCTTTGGGCAACACAAACTTTCCAACATTTAAATCTTCCAAGGCTAAATGCCCAAGATTGAAGGGGACTAAATTAACGAGCCTTAATGTTTCCTTAAAAATTTTTCAATTTATTTTGATAGTGAAAACTTTAGAGTTTGTTATTTCTAGTTGTTTACATTATTGATAGTGTCGCCTAAACAACTCCCTACACCACCAAATTTTGAAAAAAATGTACATTAAATTGGGCATCACCAATAATGGATATAAGTAAAATCGGAGTTATGACTGTATCAAGATATCACCATAACGAGATTATTAAGGATATCTTTATTGTCTTTCACGTTTTGAAAGAGCTTTATTAAAGAGATATCGTTTAGATCATATATTATTTATTATAGAGCTATCAGTCATGGAAATCTTAGTATATCTGGAACCGGAATCGATTAAGAAACCTCTAAATATTTTTAAATAAATTCACAAATAATATAAATTTACATTAACAACAGCATTTGTATAAATTAATTTAGGTCTGTGTTCCAAACTAATAGCCGAACAAATATAGTCCAAACACACATCACCACCTTCATTATTATTTAATTGTTCAATTGCTTTAGTTATTAATCCATTAGTTTTTGCATAGTTCTTTTTTTAATTTAAATTTATAAAATAATTTTAAAATTAAAAAAAATACTTTTAATTCTTCATGTAATTTATTTTGAATATCTTGATTTAAAGTTAAATATAGACACATAAATTCTGTTGTATTTGCTGTTGTTGACTTTAAATTTAATTAATTTTTAGTTGAATAAAATCTTAATTACTATTTTAAGATCAGAATTTACATACTTAAACTTTCCGGAAATTAAACAGAGGAAAGTTATAAATTCTGGTTTATTATTTTCTTTCCGGAAAGTTATAAATTCTGATTTATTATTTTCTTTCCGGAAAGTTATAAATTCTGATTTATTATTTTCTTTCCGGAAAGTTATAAATTCTGATTTATTATATTCTTTCTGGAAAGTTATAAATTCTGGTTTATTATATTTTTCCGGAAAGTTATAAATTCTAATTTATTATTCTTTTTCCGGAATGTTATAAATTCTGATTTTTATCTCTAATAAAGATAATTTCCGGAAAGAAAATAGTTAATCATAATTAATATAAATCAGAACTCCAGGCATTTTATTTAATAATTAAAATAAAAAACCAACATTATTAGCAATATAAAGATCAAAACACAAATTTCGTAATGCTTCATCACTAAAAAATATTTTTTTTAATTTTAAAATTTATCAATTAATTACTTAAAATATTTATGTTGTTTTAAAGGTATTTCTATATTTTTATCTTCATTTTCAAATTTTTCAATATCATCCAAAAAAGCATCCACAAAACAGTAATAATTATTATTTTTATTTATTTTTTGTTCCCTTTCATTTAATTTTAATAAAATTTCCTCATCGACATTTTTAAATAAATCTGTTACTATTCTATCAACTAATCGGAAACCAAAAGAGAATGGTGGAAAATGACGAAGCCACCTTTTAATTTTTTAAATTAATTATTTAATTAATTAATTATTACCACATAGATGCCCACATTTGCGTAGTTTTCCTTAAATAACACAAAATAGTAATATTTAATTATACATACTTTCCGGAAAGAGAATAACTCAGAATTCATTTAATAAAATAAACCAGAATAACCTTCCGGAAAGTTATATGTAAATCATAATTTAATTATACTTTCCGGAAAGAAAATAACTCAGAATTTCTTTAATAAAATAAACCAGAATAAGTATAACCTTCCGGAAAGTTATAATTAAATCAGAATTTATTTAAAACCTTCCGGAAATTAAACTAATTCTGATTTATTTTTAAATTCCGGAAGGTTATAATTCCTAGTTTATAATTATTCTCTGGTTTATTATCTTTCCGGAAGCAATTAAATTATAGACTGAAGGATTCTATATACCATTAGAATCAGCAGTAAATTCTGTATCTAAAACACGAAGAAGAATTGTACCCAATCAATATACAAGAAGATATAATACAATATATAATTTTTTAATATTTTTTTAATTAAATATTTTCAAATTTAATTTTCTTGATGGTTATAACTGCGACTGAAGGATTCTATATACCATTAGAATCAGCAGTAAATTCTGTATCTAAAACACGAAGAAGAATTGTACCCAATCAATATACAAGAAGATATAATACAATATACAATTTTTTAATATTTTTTTAATTAAATATTTTCAAATTTAATTTTCTTGATGGTTATAACTGCGACTGAAGGATTCTATATACCATTAGAATCAGCAGTAAATTCTGTATCTAAAACACGAAGAAGAATTGTACCCAATCAATATACAAGAAGATATAATACAATATATAATTTTTTAATATTTTTTTAATTAAATATTTTCAAATTTAATTTTCTTGATGGTTATACTTGCGACTGGAGGATTCTATATACCATTCGAATCAGCAGAAAATTCTGTATCTAAAACACCAAGACGAATTGTACCCAATCAATATACAAGAAGATATAATACAATATATAATTTTTTAATATTTTTTTAATTGAATATTTTCAAATTTAATTTTCTTGATGGTTATACGTGCGACTGGAGGATTCTATATACCATTAGAATCAGCAGAAAATTCTGTATCTAAAACACGAAGACGAATTGTACCCAATCAATATACAAGAAGATATAATACAATATATAATTTTTTAATATTTTTTTAATTAAATATTTTCAAATTTAATTTTCTTGATGGTTATAACTGCGACTGAAGGATTCTATATACCATTAGAATCAGCAGTAAATTCTGTATCTAAAACACGAAGAAGAATTGTACACAATCAATATACAAGAAGATATAATACAATATATAATTTTTTAATATTTTTTTAATTAAATATTTTCAAATTTAATTTTCTTGATGGTTATAACTGCGACTGAAGGATTCTATATACCATTAGAATCAGCAGTAAATTCTGTATCTAAAACACGAAGAAGAATTGTACACAATCAATATACAAGAAGATATAATACAATATATAATTTTTTAATATTTTTTTAATTAAATATTTTCAAATTTAATTTTCTTGATGGTTATAACTGCGACTGAAGGATTCTATATACCATTAGAATCAGCAGTAAATTCTGTATCTAAAACACGAAGAAGAATTGTACACAATCAATATACAAGAAGATATAATACAATATATAATTTTTTAATATTTTTTTAATTAAATATTTTCAAATTTAATTTTCTTGATGGTTATAACTGCGACTGAAGGATTCTATATACCATTAGAATCAGCAGTAAATTTTGTATCTAAAACACGAAGAAGAATTGTACCCAATCAATATACAAGAAGATATAATACAATATATAATTTTTTAATATTTTTTTAATTAAATATATTCAAATTTAATTTTCTTGATGGTTATAACTGCGACTGAAGGATTCTATATACCATTAGAATCAGCAGTAAATTCTGTATCTAAAACACGAAGAAGAATTGTACCCAATCAATATACAAGAAGATATAATACAATATATAATTTTTTAATATTTTTTTAATTAAATATTTTCAAATTTAATTTTCTTGATGGTTATAACTGCGACTGAAGGATTCTATATACCATTAGAATCAGCAGTAAATTCTGTATCTAAAACACGAAGAAGAATTGTACCCAATCAATATACAAGAAGATATAATACAATATATAATTTTTTAATATTTTTTTAATTAAATATTTTCAAATTTAATTTTCTTGATGGTTATAACTGCGACTGAAGGATTCTATATACCATTAGAATCAGCAGTAAATTCTGTATCTAAAACACGAAGAAGAATTGTACACAATCAATATACAAGAAGATATAATACAATATATAATTTTTTAATATTTTTTTAATTAAATATTTTCAAATTTAATTTTCTTGATGGTTATAACTGCGACTGAAGGATTCTATATACCATTAGAATCAGCAGTAAATTCTGTATCTAAAACACGAAGAAGAATTGTACCCAATCAATATACAAGAAGATATAATACAATATATAATTTTTTAATATTTTTTTAATTAAATATTTTCAAATTTAATTTTCTTGATGGTTATAACTGCGACTGAAGGATTCTATATACCATTAGAATCAGCAGAAAATTCTGTATCTAAAACACGAAGACGAATTGTACCCAATCAATATACAAGAAGATATAATACAATATATAATTTTTTAATATTTTTTTAATTAAATATTTTCAAATTTAATTTTCTTGATGGTTATAACTGCGACTGAAGGATTCTATATACCATTAGAATCAGCAGAAAATTCTGTATCTAAAACACCAAGACGAATTGTACCCAATCAATATACAAGAAGATATAATACAATATATAATTTTTTAATATTTTTTTAATTGAATATTTTCAAATTTAATTTTCTTGATGGTTATATCTGCGACTGGAGGATTCTATATACCATTCGAATCAGCAGAAAATTCTGTATCTAAAACACCAAGACGAATTGTACCCAATCAATATACAAGAAGATATAATACAATATATAATTTTTTAATATTTTTTTAATTGAATATTTTCAAATATAATTTTCTTGATGGTTATACCTGCGACTGGAGGATTCTATATACCATTCGAATCAGCAGAAAATTCTGTATCTAAAACACCAAGACGAATTGTACCCAATCAATATACAAGAAGATATAATACAATATATAATTTTTTAATATTTTTTTAATTGAATATTTTCAAATTTAATTTTCTTGATGGTTATAACTGCGACTGGAGGATTCTATATACCATTCGAATCAGCAGAAAATTCTGTATCTAAAACACCAAGACGAATTGTACCCAATCAATATACAAGAAGATATAATACAATATATAATTTTTTAATATTTTTTTAATTGAATATTTTCAAATTTAATTTTCTTGATGGTTATAACTGCGACTGGAGGATTCTATATACCATTCGAATCAGCAGAAAATTCTGTATCTAAAACACCAAGACGAATTGTACCCAATCAATATACAAGAAGATATAATACAATATATAATTTTTTAATATTTTTTTAATTGAATATTTTCAAATATAATTTTCTTGATGGTTATACCTGCGACTGGAGGATTCTATATACCATTCGAATCAGCAGAAAATTCTGTATCTAAAACACCAAGACGAATTGTACCCAATCAATATACAAGAAGATATAATACAATATATAATTTTTTAATATTTTTTTAATTGAATATTTTCAAATTTAATTTTCTTGATGGTTATAACTGCGACTGAAGGATTCTATATACCATTAGAATCAGCAGTAAATTCTGTATCTAAAACACGAAGAAGAATTGTACACAATCAATATACAAGAAGATATAATACAATATATAATTTTTTAATATTTTTTTAATTAAATATTTTCAAATTTAATTTTCTTGATGGTTATAACTGCGACTGAAGGATTCTATATACCATTAGAATCAGCAGTAAATTCTGTATCTAAAACACGAAGAAGAATTGTACCCAATCAATATACAAGAAGATATAATACAATATATAATTTTTTAATATTTTTTTAATTAAATATTTTCAAATTTAATTTTCTTGATGGTTATAACTGCGACTGAAGGATTCTATATACCATTAGAATCAGCAGTAAATTCTGTATCTAAAACACGAAGAAGAATTGTACACAATCAATATACAAGAAGATATAAGACAATATATAATTTTTTAATATTTTTTTAATTAAATATTTTCAAATTTAATTTTCTTGATGGTTATAACTGCGACTGAAGGATTCTATATACCATTAGAATCAGCAGTAAATTCTGTATCTAAAACACGAAGAAGAATTGTACCCAATCAATATACAAGAAGATATAATACAATATATAATTTTTTAATATTTTTTTAATTAAATATTTTCAAATTTAATTTTCTTGATGGTTATAACTGCGACTGAAGGATTCTATATACCATTAGAATCAGCAGAAAATTCTGTATCTAAAACACGAAGACGAATTGTACCCAATCAATATACAAGAAGATATAATACAATATATAATTTTTTAATATTTTTTTAATTGAATATTTTCAAATTTAATTTTCTTGATGGTTATAACTGCGACTGAAGGATTCTATATACCATTAGAATCAGCAGTAAATTCTGTATCTAAAACACGAAGAAGAATTGTACACAATCAATATACAAGAAGATATAATACAATATATAATTTTTTAATATTTTTTTAATTAAATATTTTCAAATTTAATTTTCTTGATGGTTATAACTGCGACTGAAGGATTCTATATACCATTAGAATCAGCAGTAAATTCTGTATCTAAAACACGAAGAAGAATTGTACCCAATCAATATACAAGAAGATATAATACAATATATAATTTTTTAATATTTTTTTAATTAAATATTTTCAAATTTAATTTTCTTGATGGTTATAACTGCGACTGAAGGATTCTATATACCATTAGAATCAGCAGTAAATTCTGTATCTAAAACACGAAGAAGAATTGTACCCAATCAATATAC